AACACATTTTTACCATGTTCAAATTGGAATTTTGTTGCTTTTAGTCCATAGGTCTATTTGTTAGCTTTATCGCGTTCTACGTATTTTTTTACAAAGTGTGTGCTAGTGTGGTCGCAAAAGTTGACAAAACTAATAGATTATACACATTTACTTGATTAAATTTGGGTATGTCCAATATTTTGGCATGTCTAATATTTTGACAATTTATTTTTAAAAAGGGATCCCTTTGATACTTCCTGTTGCAGTAGGAAATACACCCAATTTCGAAAAAATGTACCCTATTAGTTTTTAAATGCATATTATTGATCTTATTGTGAACGATTAATCTGTGCATATTGTTCATTTTTTTACCCCCGCATTTTTTTTTACCACATAATGATTAAAAAATGCGATAATCGTTACACTCCCATGCATGTCGCAATACACAAGAAAGGATCTGTGGCTACTTCCGTTTTATCGTGACTTTAAATCCATTCCAGACATTTTTGCTGATTTTCCACAATAAGTGCAGAAAGCGTGGGGGAAAAAGCCCAATGTCGCAAAGCGTATCATCCATGCTATTCCTGTCTCACAGGTGCTGGAAAACAACCCAGAATATGAAAATATCCTGGCCAAACCAAGAAAATGGACATTATGATGCTGTACGAATTAATCACCTCATGTTGTTCCATCTTCTCGTATAGTGTGCAGAGAGATTGTGTGGAAAAAAATACCCTAAAGGATTAACATTCTCTTCTCACAATGTTTCTAAGCAGCTGTGGGTTTGTGTTAAAGAGCCGAACTGCAGCTGCATTCGCTGTGCATTCTACGAACAGAAATATCCACAATGATATGAAACAGACCGTTCGCATGGCTTGCATACTTTAATGGCTCCTAAAAACACAGATCCATACTTTTGATTTGATGTTACTTGGCTGTCTTCGGGTCTGTGATAAGCAATCAGATGCCATCAGTCTCATGAACAGGAAAAGCGTGTCTGTGATCAGGTGTATATGATTCTCGGCCCAGGCCTGAGCCGGGTGATCTGTTAGCAGCTATTATTAAGATCAATGCTGTATATTTGTCAGACATAAGGACTCCACATGTGGTGCTTTTGCAATATTTGTGTAATGTTGTGGCAACATGAATATGACTGAAGAGCTTTATTTGAATGTCAAGTGTCGGTTGCATGGTGCCAATCTGTCTAGAGATGTGTTTCTTACTAGAGAACATCATTTTCCCAGTGGGGCGCGTTCTGTGATAACCAATCAGATCTGCTCTGTTGAATACTAGTGCATACATTAATGTGCTGTTGCGATTGCGAAATGTTATATGTTCTAATCTGACAAGCATTTGAGACCTCTAGGACAATTTATATCAAAAAACATGTTACAAATTCCTAAGTACTTAAGATAATAAATCAAGCACCGAATAAATCCCACAGGAACGTTTTATTGCTCAGAGTTTTTATTTATTTATATATATATATATATATAACTCATGAGCAACTCATGTCTTTTTCAGTGTAGTCCAATTCCCAGACCAATGACTCTGATGAATCATTTCTTGAATCGTTTCTATTTAACCTTTTATTTAACCAGGAAATTACATTTTTGAGATTTAAAATCTCTTTTACAAGAGGGTCCTGGCCAAGACAGGCAGCACATTATAGTTAAACTTGAAAACATTTAAACATTAATTTACATGTACAAAAATGTTCACATATCAATCAAAACAATTACAGTCAGGAAAATCCAAAACAAAGTCTTGGATAATTTAGAGAGACCAACTCTTTTTATCTTGTAATTGATTCTAATCAAATGGAGCAGCATAACTAGATGCCCTTACCCATGACTTTCAGGATGTTTAAAAGAAAATAATCTTGAGAACGAAGACCATAATTCGTTACACCTTTTTTGAATGATATGCTGGTGTGAATAAGAAAGAAGCAAACCCATAATAATTGTATATAAAAATGTACCAGTGCCTGAGTCTATGGAGTGACAGCGTGTGCCATCCAACCTGAGACGAGAGTACAGTAAACAATGATGGATAAGGGCTTTTGAATTAGTAATAAACCTCAATGCTCCATGATAAACAAAATACAACGCCTGTCAACAATGTCAGGCGCCTGCATATAGATAATATCACAATATTCTAACACTTAAGAAAATAAATAAGAAAATAAAATCTGTATGTTTTTATTCCTCATTGTTTAATAAAAAAATACAGCAAAACCAGTGTAGTAAATTTCCTGAACAGAAGCATCTTATGAGTCAGTTCTTTTCAATGAATTAAAAATACTGCAAAACCAGTGTAGTCTGACTCCCGATTGAATGAGTTCAATGAATCGATGCTTTTTACTGAATCAAAAACATACAGTGCAACCAGTGTAGTGCAATTCCCGAATGACTGACTCTAATGAATCAGTTAGTTTTACTGAATCAGAAACATACAGCAAAACCAGTCTAGTCCAAAACACAAACCAATGACACTTCTGAGTTGGTTCTTTTCGGTGAATGAAAAATATTGCAAAACCATTAGTGAAGTCTGATTCCCAAATGACTGACTCTTATGAATTGGTTATTTTTACTGAATCAAAACATACAGTGCAGCCAGTGTCTGATTCCCGAATGAAAGATTCTTATGAGCCAGTTGTTTTCAGTGAATGAAAAATACTGTAAAACCAGTATAGTCTGACTGCTGAATTAATGACTCTAATGGATTGGTTATTTTTACTGGATCAAAAGCATATAGTGCAACCGAGTGCAACCAGCGGAGAACGATTCCCGAATTAATGACTCTATTGAATCGGTTATTTTTACTGAATCAAAAAACATACAGTGCAACCAGTTCGATTCCCGAAAGAATTACTCTAATAGAATAGTGTTTTTTTGTTTTTTGTTTTTTTACTAAATCAAAAACATACAGCAAAACCAGAGCAGTCCAATTCTTGAACCAATGACTCTTATGAGTCGGTTCTTTTAAGTGAATGAAAAATACTGCAAAACCACCAGTGTAGATTCCTGAATGAATGACTCTAATGAATCAGAAACTTACAGCAAAACTAGTGTTGTGCAAATCACAAACCAATGACTCTTCTGAGTTGGTTCTTTTCGGTGAATGAAAAATATTGCAAAACCACTAGTCTGATTCCCGATGAATGACTCTTATGAATTGGTTATTTTTACTGAATCAAAACATACAGTGCAGCCAGTGTCTGATTCCCAAACGAAAGATTCTTATGAGCCAGTTGTTTTCAGTGAATGAAAAAAACAGTATAGTCTGGCTGCTGAATTAATGACTCTAATGGATTGGTTATTTTTACTGGATCAAAAGCATATAGTGCAACCGAGTGCAACCAGCGGAGAACGATTCCCGAATAAATGACTCTATTGAATCGGTTATTTTTACTGAATCAAAAAACATACAGTGCAACCAGTTTGATTCCCGAAAGAATTACTCTAATAGAATAGTGTTTTTTTGTTTTTTGTTTTTTTACTAAATCAAAAACATACAGCAAAACCAGAGCAGTCCAATTCTTGAACCAATGACTCTTATGAGTCGGTTCTTTTAAGTGAATGAAAAATACTGCAAAACCACCAGTGTAGATTCCTGAATGAATGACTCTAATGAATCGGTCATTTTTACTAAATCAGAAACTTAGTCCAATTACCAAATATGACATTTTTTGTGAATTAAGCACACACTAATCAGTGTATTTTCTGACTGATTATCAGAGGTGGATAAAATACACAACTTCCTTACTTGAGTGAAAGTACAGATGTTCAAATATTACTGTTCAAATATAATATGTCAATGCATTGTTTTATTATTGTTGCATTGTTGCTGCCCTCATATCAATATCAAATTTATTTCTAGAACACCGTTCCAGTAGTGAGATTGAATGTGAGATTGAATAAGTGCACTCAATAACGTCCACAATGGTTTCGGACACAAATGGCTGTTCCCTCAAATAGTGCCCTATTTAAAGTTTTTTGTCTTTTATGAATGTTAGCCTTACTGTTATCTATAAGCTTATGTGCTCCAAAACAATGACAAAATTCGCATTTAGAAGACCAAACCCAACATTGAAAATGAAAATCATGTTGATGTCAGAATCCAACGTCAGATTGACGTTAATCTCCAGTGTTGGACAGACGTTGTATTGTGGTTGAAAGTTAAAATCGGGTTGACGTCAGAAAGCAACATCAGTCGGGTTCTAACGTCAATCCGACTTTCATTTCCAACCAAAATACAACCCCTGCAACCAAAATCATCCCCTGACTGACGTTACAAGTTTCTACTCAAGGACCTTGACAGAAATGGAGTGGAGTAAAAAGTATGATATTTATCTTTAAAATGTAGTTAGAGTACAATTGTTTCCAGAAGTTTCCAGAAAAAATAATACTCAAGTACAGATACTCAAAAAGTGTACTTAAGTACAGTACTCAAGTAAATGTACTTTGTTTATGTCCACCTCTGCTGATTATTCATATATATATATATATATATAAATCTGAAAAGAAATGCTACCCTGAAAAAACGATTGAGATTGTAAAATGCATAATGCTCCTTACACGCAATCAGCTGTCATTTTGTTTCAACCAGAGAAGAACATTTCAAATTTATGTAGCATTTTTATATGTGCAACACCCTAATGTTTTAACAGCTAAAAATAAAACCGAACGATCGAGTCTGAAGTCATGTTGTGCTGACGGTTCCTTCTCCGTCTCATTAGAGTTTTTACTAGTGCCTGTGCAGAAGTAATGTTCACGTCTCCTGCGTGCCCAGAAACGTGCTGTGGTGTGCGCAGGAGGGGCTTTAATGGATGTTTAATGCCATTGTATTGCAATTTTATTTCTGTGCTTTTTATGAGCTAGCACACGATAATAACAGCAAATCAGCAAAAAATAACCTGGATTATGATATACACCTTTTTAATGCAATCTAATCTATTTTGTCCTAATGATCATGCAAAAAAAAGATTGAATCATTTTAATCTCATTATTTGTTCACAGTTATGCTAAACAGACCACCATCGTTTGAAAGCAGCCATATCAGCTGGTCATGGTACTGGAAGTTAAACACATCTGTTGAATCAGGGTACCCACAGCGCTGGAAAATGTTTCTGTCTACGGCCCAGATGAGGAGAGTCTCCAAGCCACAACATGACATCCATCTCAGGATATTTAATGAGGATGTCTACCGCTGGATTCATGTGAGGCCCACATCACTGAGGACAAAGGGTGAATTCTTCCCCGGCCGAGCACGGCTAGAGGAAGTAGTGCAGATGCCAGTGGAGATAACTGAGTGTGGGTTCGAGTTTCAACCAGCTGGACAGGCATACTTCTACTGTGCACAGAACTGGGTGGAATTGAGAGTGGAGTGTGTGAACCAAAAAGTATTACGCAATGTTATTTTTTGTATTTTTTTTAATGGCTACCATGTCATTAGTATAGAGAAATGCTTGAAAATGAAAATGACAGTGGTGGAAGAGAGCTAAAGTGTGTGTGTGTGTGTGTGTGTGTGTGTGTGTGTGTGTGTGTGTGTGTGTGTGTGTGTGTGTGTGTGTGTGTGTGTGTGTGTGTGTGTGTGTGTGTGTGTGTGTGTGTGTGTGTGTGTGTGTGTGTGTGTGTGTGTGTGTGTGTGTGAAGCAGTGACAAAATATACATTCATTCCAACATATATATATATACTGTATATATACTGTATATATATATATGTGTGTGTGTGTGTGTGTGTGTATAAATTATATATATATACTAATTTAAATTACATTTAAATATATAATTACATTTACACATTTATATACTTTTATATTTATTTATTTACTATAATGTCATAAGAAATAAATACAATTTCAATCTTAATTACATTTAAAATATTTCAATATTAAATGGGAGTGTATGAGGGGTTATGCTTTTCTCGTTCCTCTGAAAAGGTTTTAATCTTCTTTTAGCAATCATTTTGGACTTTACCCACCTCTGTACAAGCAGATTAAAGTGAAGCCATTGCAGTGCACTTTAACTGCTGACTAACATACCTGGCATACTTAACTAGTGTGACAGTACTGTCTTTGGCCAACCAGCTTCACCATAAAAACCATTCTGGTCGAGTACTGTAAATGTTGGTTATATGCTGATTCACCACCTGTAGACCAGCATAAACCAGCCTAGACTAGCATGGAAATGAGTTTTTGTGAATATCTAAAGTCAGTAACAGTGACGGGCAGTTAAAAAGACACCACATGGTACATGAGATTAGTAAAGAGCGCTGAAGTGTAAAATAATCTGATATCATGACTAATTGTTTTAATAAGGCTTAGAATTCCTTAAAGATTTTAATCCAGACCACATGAGAACTGGACCACTGTAAAATACGTCTACGCCTTTGAACTTTAATCCACGGATTCAGAAAATGTCTGTTCATTCTGAGGTTTTTCTTTTCGATGTTTTCCTGTAAAGTGTGTCCTATAGGTCAGAAGTGAGTGTGAAATTCAACAATCAAACCTGACCCTGTTTACTTCCTCAATGCACATTCCTGGTCTTAGTGTGAATGATTCATCTGTGCACAATCTTTATAACCTTTAATCAAAATGTTTTATTGTGTTCTTGCTTTTTGCAATGACATTTCCCGCTGACATCACTTTGCATTGATTGGCTAATACACTGTAAAACGTGATGACTTAACTCAAACTTAACTTAAGTGAGGAATTCCGTTGACTTAAAATGATTAAGTAATAAACTTCATTTGAAAAAATTAAGTTATGTGAACTTGACAATTACACATAACTTAATTTTTTCTATTACGCATGAAGTTTATTTACTTAATCATTTTAAGCCAACGGATTCCCTCACTTTTTTAAGTTAAATCAACTGATCACTTCTATTTTTTGTCTTTTTTATTTATTTAGCGCAGCTAAATATCACCTAAAAATCCTTACAACAAGATAATAATTTATAATAATAATAATGAGATATAATAATAAAATATAAGATGGATGTACTTGAGAAGCAAAAATAAAAAAGATTTGTTTTGTTTTGTTTTTACTGAAAAACAATAAAGAGTCATTAACAAGTAATTTTTAACTATATTTGTTGTTCTTTTATATACCCACTATATATGAACCAATCATATTCAAATCATATATTCAAAAAGTTGAATATCCAACATTCTTCGTATTAAACATCCTGTTTTATTTGGAAACTTGTCTCATTAGCGAAGTAAACAAGTAATATTGATTTTATCTCATCTACAATTTATTCGCTGGCAAATACTTCTTAGAAAAACGCCACATCCATACTTTTGCAACTGATGTTGTCAGGCCTGAGAGTCATTCACTGCCTCTAAAAGTGTTACCTAAAGACTCGTACTCTATGATTATGCAAACACATCTTCCTCACGAATGGGGAAAGTGTCCTAACCGTAAAATATTAAACTGCAGCGTCCACAGATGGTATGAATATTATTCCCTTTTGCGTTCTAGCTGTTTTGTGTTTTTTACAGCTTTGGCTTTTTTTACATCCTGTCCAGGTGAAACTGCACTCCATTATTTATGGCTCGTATAAAAACGTGCCTGTTCCCACGTACTGCCGAAAGTTTTATTATGTTAATTATACATTGGCCCGAGTCTGGAGGCCTGCTTAGAAAGTGAAGGTAATTATGTCAAAAAGGAGGTTCAACACGTGTGCAAACGCTTTAGAGCATTTGCATCTTTTTTCCGCTGTTTTACAGTTGCCCGGATTGTGCATGACGAAACATGTTTTGAGTGATGAACAGTTCTCATTGGTGGTATTGATGGCTGGTTAATGTGTACACAATGTCTCCATTTTAACTGTTAGATCTGTACTTTTAATAGTAGGGATCAATGGCCATTAACAGCAGAAAAGCTAAGTGGAATACAGAACAGCAATGCACAACAAAAGTGTGAATCTACAGACACCGATTCACATTAATCAAACAATGAACCTGAGCTTTTCAGACTTACCTGATACAAAAACACTAAAAGTGGCATATATAAAGGTAAGAATTTCTGATTCACGATCAGTTTTTTTGCCTTCTATATCCTAATCTTTCTTGATTAATTCGATTTTACTTTAGGGGCACATTTCAAAGTTTAATGCACTTAAAAATATTTATCATTATGAAAACAGAATTTTTTTCTGTAGAAAATGTGAATGCTATCATGCAAGAATAGCAAAACCCCTCAAACACTCCTTTTTAATAAAAATATTTTGAATATAATTCACATTTAAATAAAAATGTTAAATCAGTATATAAAATACGATTTATTATCTTTGACACTATTTTTATAGCTACTATATAGCTATATTTTGTACTATATCTAAATATATATTTTAATTCAATTAATTTATTATTTTTGCTAATATTGTAGATAGTATTTAAATAAGTATATACATATATCAATTTAATTATATGTTTAAATATAATGTTACAATTTTATTATTTATGATAGTATTTATTATTTGTAATATTTTTAGTATATATAATATTAAAAGTAATAAAAAACAGTATTAAACAATATACATATAGTTTTTAAAATCTATAATATTTTTTATAATAAAAATAATAAGCCAAAATATATTTCAAATATATTTTAAATATTTATGCTGTGCTAAATATTTTTAAAAAAAATGTTTGGACAACATACAATTATATATAGTATCTAATAGCATATGTATAAATATATAAATGAATAAATATAAGAAAAAAATATTTACGTCAATATGTTTTAAAATTGGTATCAGCCATGTATTTTTGGGTTATTTTTATATATGAAAATATGTTTTACATGATGTGGAGGATTACATGATTTTTTTAGTACTTGGAATTATAGGTTTGTTCAAATCATTAACTCTTAGTTTGAGCAATAGCATATGACTTAGCATAATTATACAACTGTATATCATGTGACAGTTCAGCTGAAACTGTAAAAGTTGATTATGTATTGTCATAAGGCCGGGTCACAGATGAAAGCGGAAGCAGCCAGTACTGACCCCAGGATTGACCTCTCACATTTGCAGAATGAGGGAAAGCTTTGTTTCAGATTGTCTTAAAATAGGAACTAGTTCCTCATTTTTCTCTTGGATTATTCAAAATATAACAGTCAACAATTTGCTGGTGGGAAACGAATTTTGTCGGCCCTACGAAACCGAGAATCATCTCACGTCTTGGGTTATTTCATGCATCTCTGATTTGGCTCATCACTTCTCATTTGGCTTTGATTACACAACAAAAGGAAAGAAATACACATTCAGGCAGAAGGTGTTAAAACATGAAAGCACCCGGATTTTGTGGCACAAAAAAGTAGGGTAGGATGAGACAGAGAAGAAATGGCAGGTAATGCAATATTCATGCGCACGAGGCAGATTTCCCTTTAGTTCTCATGATTAGAGGAGGAGAATCTGAGCCCAGCCCGTCGTCTTAGTTCTCGGGGAAGAGGATGGATGCATTAATGGTAAGTTGTTGGGGTTTTTTTTTTGTACTTTGAGCGAAGAGAGAAGATGTGGCTTAATCAAGGAGATGCACTTCTCCTTTCCCTGCTCTTTGATGTTGTGAAAAGACGTCCACGGTTAACCCTGAGTGTGCATCCGCTGGGTCCTTCTCTTTCAAACCTGAGATGATGAAAGTGGTGGCGTTGTATCAGGGGGTGTCCAGGTCCTCTTGAAAAAGAGATGTGACCCTGATTGAAATGAGGAACATATTTGATCTTGAAATGAAGTGCTTCCTTGCTTTGGACTAATGCACTCATCTTTGATCATCAAAAGTAATTGACATAACCACATTGCCTTTAAAGCTTATTGAACGACAACCAAGCATATTGTCCCGAGAATATTGGTGTCATTGGCGGAAGGATGCACATTTTGTAGGCCATTTTCAGATGAGCTCAGTATTCAATATATGAAATAGACCAAATTGTGATGAATGCAAATGCAATGTAAAAAAAGAATAATTAAATTCTATGTATTGAACAAAATAAAGTTTTAAAAGAAAATGTTATTTCAGACGTTCTACTTCAAATGCATGTTTAAATGTGTTATTTGCCATTTCATTGTCTAATTATATATGAAATTTACTAGCCTTTTCTGAGTGAAAATAGTTTCAAAATAAATCCTACACTAAATCCTATTTTTTTTCAGCGTGTGTATATATAAAATAATGGTAACACTCAAACGGTTCTATTTGTTAACATTAATTAACGTACTGAGAATGACCAATACTTGCAGCATTTATTCATTCATTTCTATACGTTTACTAAAAGTTGCATCTATAGGCCTAATAGTTGTATCTGTTAATGTTAGTTGTTAGTTAATGCATTGAACTAACATGAACCAACAATAAACAGTTGTATTTGTATTAACCAAGGGTACGTTAGCACGACAACAATGAATTGAAAATGAATTACATAATTGAAAAGTTCTGCGTACAGACGACAACGTTGTCAAATCGATCCCAGTTCACACGGATCTGCGAAAACGATAAAAAACG